CATGGTTTGGCTGCCTCTGCCTCCTAACTTGTCCTGTGCCGTCCTCAAGGCTGCCTCTCTGGGCTGTGATGACTTGCTGCTCCCCATTGCAGCCATGCTGTCTGTGGAGAAGGTCTTCATTCATCCAGGTGAGAACAGGTGGGATTGGGGGATGGTGGCAGTGGCTGGTCATTACCCTGTCAAGACCCACATTTTACTATGGTGTGGTATGGTTGGAACCTGATTAGTCACACTCGCATATGTTCTGTGGGAAGAGATAGTCATGAAACCAGACTTCTAGGGAAGCAGAGATCTAGTACCTGGCTTCCTGGAAAGCAGAGATGTAGAATGAAGCTTCCGGGAAAGCAGAGATGTAGAATGAAGCTTCCGGGAAAGCAGAGGTCCAGAACAGGGGTGTCAAACTCAATTTCATTGAGGGTCGTATCAGCATTGCGGTTGCCCTTGGGGGGCCGGGTGGGTGTGGCCAGGGTGGGTGCGGCCTACTGGGTGGGCATGGATGGAGTGGGTGTGGCCTGTTGGGTGGGCGTGTGAGAATGCCCCGCTGCCTGCCAAAACCCCTCCCCCGGAGCCCATCAAGCCGGATATGTGAAGTAGGCGAGGGCCATTTGCTGGCCACTTTCAGGGATGGTGCATTTCTTCATTCCTCACAAAGGGTGACACCTCCCCAGCATGCACCCAGGGGTTGGGGCCGACACGGCAGGGGCTGGTTCCTCGCTGTTTCTAGATGGCCTTGTGGAGTTAAGACTGAATCCATTTCAGCATAGATGGCCACCACAGAATTGTACATTGGCTCCCGGCCAGCCTGGGCCAGGGCCAAGGCAGCGGGGGCCGTTCCCTCACTGTTTCCAGGATGGCTTTGCGGGCCACATGAAACCACTTCAAGGGCCGCATCTAGCCCCCGGGCCTTCTGTTTGACATGTCTGGTCTAGAATGAAGCTTCCTGGAAAGCAGAGATCTAGAATGAAGCCGTTCTTAAGACTGGCATCGCTGCTCTTGGTTTAGGGGGGTTAATTGGGGACACCAATGGGGACCACAGCCTTCTTTTATTCTGCACAGAGTGTTTCTGTTCCTGTTGAGCAGGGGTCTTCAAACTTGGCCCTTTTATGACTTGTGGACTTTAACTCCCAGAATTCCTCAGCCAGGCACACGTGCCTGGCTGAGGAATTCTGGGAGTTGAAGGCCACAAGTTATAAAAGGGCCAAGTTTGGAGACCCCTGCTGTTGAACAATAAATGGCCTTTTCTATTGTCCTTCAAAATGATATGAAGTAGAAAATGCCAAACAGCAAAGTTTTCCGGAATAGTTGTTTTTGGCAGCAAAAAGTCACTACTGGACAGATTAGTGGCTTGGAAAGTTTTGTGCTGTGAATGTCCTTTATTTTTTTCCCCTCTAACCTTGACGGTGCTTGATAAAGCAAAAGAACCTTCTTTTTAAAAAGTGGTCTTTATATTATGTTGGAGTTAGGAGAGTCACTGCTCCTCTGGAAAGTGCGAAGACATTTGAGGACGGTTTTTAAATAGGTTTGTTAAGCTTGTGCAAAGTTTAGTACCTTTGTTTTGCCTCTTAAACCTTCTTCAGAAAAACAATAAAAATAAAACCAAAAGCATTCAGCCCGATCCACCCTAGGGATTCTCTGCTATCCAAAAAAGGAATTTTATGTTTTTTAAAAAATGTAAATTTATTTATTTATTTCCCATTTTTATTATTTTTATAAGTAACCCAAGCAGCAATCACACACAATATTCCCTTTTCTTCCTGTTTTCCCCACAACAACCCTGTGAGGTGGATTGGGCTGAGAGAGGGACTGTCCCAAAGTCACGTAGCCAGCTTTCATGCTTAAGGCGGGACTAGAACTCACTGTCTCCTGGTGATTGGCCCAAAGTCACCCAGCAGGCTTTCATGGCTAAGACGGGACTAGAACTCACAATCTCCCGGTTTCTAGTCTGGTCCCTTAACCATTAGAGCAGGGGTAGGCAACCTTGGCTCTTTTATGACTCGTGGACTTCAACTCCCAGAATTCCTGAGCCAGCCATGCTGAGGAGAAATGTAGAGGTTTCCTTGCTGAGCCATGTTGGCTCAGGAATTCTGGGAGTTGAAGTCCACGAGTCATGAAGGGGCCATAGTTCCCCCATGCTGGCTCAGGAATTCTGGGAGTTGAAGTCCACGAGTTATAAAAGAGCCAAGGTTGCCTACCCCTGCCCTGGATGGAAAAACAGACTAAAGCTTTGATCTTTACTTCACCGTCTTCTAGTCCAACCCCCTGCTGAGGCAGGAGACCCTATACCAGGGGTAGGCAACCTTGGCTCTTTTATGACTTGGGACTTCAACTCCCAGAAAGTCCATTTGCCTCTTGAAAAAGCACCTTTGACACAACCATGACTTGGATAACTGAGAATCTCCATAGATATTCTTTCTATGAAAGGAAGGAAAGGAAGGAAGGGGGAAGGGAAGGGAAGAAAGAAGAGAAAGAAAGAAAGAAAGAAAGAAAGAAAGAAAGAAGGAAAGAAGGAAGGAAGAAAGAAAGAAAGAAAGAAAGAAACAGAAAGAAAGAAAGAAAGAAAGAGGAAGGAAGGAAGGAAGGAAGGAAGGAAGGAAGGAAGGAAGGAAGGAAGGAGACCCCTGTCTAAAAAACGACCTTAAATATGATCGTATAAAATTGGGGTTGCTGCATCTACAAACTGGCATCAATTGTAAAGAGAACCTGGGGAAAAATGACTGTAAATTGTTTTCTAAATATAGAAAACCTATATATAGGTTGTGATTAGGAATTTGAAAATGTTGAGGGTCAGTTTAGAAAAGTGTTTCAGAGTGCACGGCAACTCCCACACTCCCTGGAGCACTTTTACTGGTGATCAAATCAAAATTGGCCTTTTGGGAAGTCTAATTTTGAGGTCTGGATAACATCTGTCATTGTTCAAGTTGCTAAGTTCTTTAAATGGTATTACCTGTGTAGACAGTTTATTAAAAAAAAAGGTAGCAGCCAATCCAGTGCTTCTTGAATGATGGTGAGTTTGCTTTTCAAAGGAGAGGGGGGGGGGAGGAAAGAAAGAAAGAAAGAAAGAAAGAAAGAAAGAAAGAAAGAAAGAAAGAAAGAATTATTTCAATTTCCACCTTCCTTAGGGAATCCACAGAAGCAGAAGGAAGCCGACCTACAGCACCAAAAACTATCTCTACAAATGGGAGGACACAATGACTTTACGACTCTCCTGAACATCTTTGAGCAATGCAAAGCAAGGTATTTGAATAGTCTTCAGAGAACTGGCTGAACGCAAAACTGGCCCTGGGGAATATTTAGTCCTGGGAAGACACTCAAGGCTGGTCTGGCAGCAAGATACGGTAAATGACTAGAACAGAGTTGTCCAATCTTGGCAACTTTGAGACCTATGGACGTCAACTCTCCCAGAATTCCCTAGCCAGCCATGCTGAAGTCCTCCCATCCCCCTTTCAGAAGGTTTCATCTGGTTTAGCTTTTCAAGCCTGGAGAAAGTCTGCCAAAATGTTTATGTATGTAAATTGCTTACCGGTAGCCTGGTATGGCTATACCAGGGATGGCGAACCTTTTAGAAACCGAGTGCCCAAAAACTGCCCCGCCCCCCGCCCCGCCTGCCCGCAGGGCCACTCACTGCCTCCACAGCCCGCTGCAGATCGCCCAGGCGGCCCAGAAGCACCATGGTGGCTACGCCCTCCGCATTCCATGCATCATCTGTGTGCGACAGGACGTGAGGGTGGAGTCTTATCCCCGCTGCCTGGCTGCCATGTGCTTGGCTGTGCTGCTCCACATCGTCTGCGCCCGGGGGCAACTCTCCTCCAGGGGGGATGCTGGGGGGGAGGCGGGGCTGTGGCAACAGCATGCGTGCCCACAAAAAGGGCTCTGAGTGCCCCCTCTGGCACGCGTGCCATAGGTTCGCCACCACTGGGCTATACAGTAGTTATTAAAACCTCTTGACCAGCATCCCCTTGATAGCCTTATGCCAATCGTATCGCCTCCCATTTGCAAAATCAAGAATTGGGTGCATTTAACCTGGAGGAGGGATGCCCAACCTTGGCAACTTTAAGACCACTGGACTTCAACTCCCAGAATTCCCATCCAACATAGCTAGAACTCAGTCTAGGTTAGAGGTGTCCAACCTTGGCAATTTTAAGACCAGTGGACTTCAGCATGGCTGGTTGGGGAATTCTGGAAGTTGAGGTCCACAGGTCTCAAAGTTGCCAAGGTTGGACACCCCTACTCTAGAATTTTAAGAAAAGCTGTTGATAGCAAAAAGGGCAGAAGTAGAGATGGGGAATATATTTCTGCTTATCAGGAAAATTAGATTAGTGTTTTTTCAAACTTGGCAACTGTAAGGTGTGTGGACTTCAGCTCCCAGAATTCTCTAAACAGCTGGATTTCCACTCCCAGAATTCTCCAGCCAGCCTGCTTTAAGATGGCTGGATTTTCACTCCCAGAATTCCTCAGCCAGCCTGTTTTAAGATGGGTGGATTTCCACTCCCACAATTCCCCAGCCAGCGTGTTTTGAGATATGTTGAATTCCATCAGTATTCTTCAGCCAGACGGGTGGACTTCAACTCCCAGAATTCCCCAGCCAGCATGACTGGTAGGGAAATTCTGGGGAGTTGAAGTCCACACCTCTGAAAGTTGCCAAGTTTGTAAAAACACTGTATTAAGTGGTGGAAAGCTGGTAGTAGAGGATTTTTCATGAGAATATATGATGGTGGGAAGTTCCCCCCCCCCAGCGCCCCACCCTAAGCAGAAATCTGGATGAGCTGGAAGTTGTAACTGAGCCCTTTCTTCAAGTTGTCATGGCACACCATTCTTAAGCAAGGAGTCATTAATATTTTCAAGTGGCATGAACGTTCACGAAGATACAAATATATGAACGAGATCAGGAATGCACAGGTATAGTATAGGGGGTACCTTGCTCAATAGTAGTAACTGTGAGAGGGACCTCGGAGTCCTAGTGGACAATCACCTAAATATGAGCCGGCAGTGTGCTGCAGCTGCCAAAAAGGCCAACACAGTGCTAGGCTGCATTAACAGAGGGATAGAATCAAGATCACGTGAAGCGTTAATACCACTTTACAATGCCTTGGTAAGGCCACACTTGGAATACTGCATCCAGTTTTGGTCACCACGATGTAAAAAAGATGTTGAGACTCTAGAAAGAGTACAGAGAAGAGCAACAAAGATGATTAGGGGACTGGAGGCTAAAGCATATAAGGAACGGTTGCTGGAATTGGGTATGTCTAGTTTAATGAAGAGGAGGACGAGGGGGGACATGATAGCAGTGTTCCAATATCTAAGGGGCTGCCACAAAGAAGAGGGAGTCAAGCTGTTCTCCAAAGCGCCTGAAGGCAGGACAAAAAGCAATGGATGGAAACTAATCAAGGAGAAAAGCAACCTAGAACTAAGGAGAAACTTCCTGACAGTTAGAACAATTAACCAGTGGAACAGCCTGCCTCCAGAAGTTGTGAATGCTCCAACACTGGAAGTTTTTAAGAGACTGGACAGCCATTTGTCCGAAATGGTATAGAGTTTCCTGCCTGAGCAGGGGTTGGAATAGATGACCTCCAAGGTCCCTTCCAACTTTACTATTGTTGTTGTTGTTGTTGTTGTTGTTGTTGTTATTATTATTATTATTATTATTATTATTATTATTATTATTATTATTATTATTATCCCTGAGGCTGTGGACAAAATGGGAATGTCTCAAAACTGTAATAAGGATGAATGGATATTTGGGATATTTCAAGGTCAGATTTTTTTTGCGGGGGGGAAAGAACCATTATACCTTTTGTCTTGAAAAAGAAATTTAAACAACTGTTACAGATTTCCACCTTAATGAATTCATTAAGTAATGAATACTGGAGTTTTTCTATTCAGCATCCAAGATTTTGAATATTCATTTCTTAACTTCTGGACAATAAAGCAAACCAATAAGGCTCATTGTAAATCTTTGCTTCGGGGTTTTATTTTGCTATTGAGTGCATAACAATATATTTTAAAATACATATTTTTTTCTGAACCTTCTGAATTTGCCAACCAGGACTTCAAAATATGCCACAAGAGAATAGGCCACTTCATGAGATCTGGCACCTATACTAGCCCTTCACCTCTGCCCCCTGTCTAAGTCAGTCTGCTCCTTCTTGGCTCAGGGATACAGCAAAATGCAGCCTATACGTTTTCTACTGGATGGGGAACAATATAATTTTACTTCTTTTCCTGCCTCCAGCGAGTCTCCTTCTGTTTGGTGTCAAGAAAATTGGGTCCACTGGAGAGCTGTGAAGCTGGCATTCAGTGTGGAACAACAGCTTCGTGAAATCGTCAACAGGTTGAAACAGGTAAATCAAAACTTGCCAATGGAGCTTGGATTATTTCTTGCTTGCTTTGATCTCCTGTCAATCAGAGATCATCTAGCACTGTCCGAGATCTATCAATCTATCTGTTTTTCTAAGACCTTTTGGAGAACAGCAATCCAGTCAAGGACTACCGATAATGTTAGCGCGTGCACAGCCTTATTGCGCGAGATAACCCAGGAGTAATCACAGTAAACAATGGTCTATATTAAATGATGGTTTATCTTACACTATCTACAATATCATACACCAGGAACAATATACATACACGTGCTAATACAGCAGGATCCAACACACCACAGTTACAGCAGGAAACGGAAGAGAGAGAGAACACATCACCGGAACCATCCCTTTATACAAAGGCTCTTAAAGAGACCCAGACCCTGCTGGCTCTCAAAGAGACCCAGACCCTGCTGAGTCATTCCCTTCATTACATCTTACATTACATAAGCTGGTTAGCTGTTAAACCATTACCTTGACCGATAATACCTTTAAAAAAAAACATAGTAAAGAACATAATAAAATTATAATGATAATCACCGTCCTGATTTTTATAAAATTGCAACACCTCCCCCCTCAAAAAAAAATTAAAGCAAAAGGCCTGAACAAAACAGTTTTATTTAACCCCAATAAAAAGAATATTTCTTTCTGGGATTTTTGTTCTCCAGCTGCCAGACTTCCTAAAGGAAGACTTTGACGGTTCCCGAAACGAGATCCTAAGGAGGTGTCTGTGCGCGGGTTATTTTGCCAGCGTGGCACGTAGGTAAGGCCTTCCATTTGGGGTGGGATGGGGGTGGGGGGGCTGAAGTCAGCATAGGGCAGACAGCGATGCCCAAAGCACGCAGCCTTTGGGATCGTAATTTTTGCTGCAGAGTTGCAAGGGGCTTTCGTGATTTCCCCCCAACTGGAGTCCTTGGGGAATTTGGGGGACATCCTGGCATTGGGGCAAAGCAACTTCATCTTCTCCCCCCCCCTTTTTCCCCCCCTTGGGCTCTTAATTCCAGGTCTGCAGGGAAGTCTTTTCGCACCATGGATGGTCACGGTAGCGTGGCCTATATTCATCCATCATCTGCTGTAAGTTGCCTCTTCTGGTTAATTATTGTTCGATGGTGGAGATTCTGCTGGCGAGAAAAGCCTCTTGAACCAAACCTTTGCATTTGGGACCTTCCTGGATCTTTCATTCAGTTGCTCAGTTTTTGGGGTGGGGGCTCAGAGTAAAGCACTGGGCATCACTGCAATAATTGATTCTTCTAATAGAAACATTCCTGTTAGATAAGATAATCTTTATTGTCATTTTTTTTTTACTGTGGACACACTGGCACACATTAAAAGTGAAATTCTGTTGCCTGCTCTCAGAAGTGTACACGTACATAACCCATGTATAAACATGCTATATGCATACATATGTTGAGATGTGTTTGAATATTAGTAGCTCGGGTTGGTAGCTGGGCTGTAGGTTTGATCTCCGGGCTTGGTAATTAGGTTAATTACTTAATTACCAAGCGCCGGAGAGGAAACGAACAACCCATATACATATGCATAGACCTACGACCTTACATATAAATATACATATGTATGTATGTATATAGCATGTTTATATGTGTTATGTATGTGTACACTTTTGAGAACAGGCAAAAGAATTTCATTTTTAATGTGTGCCTGTGTGCCAACAATAAAAAAATGACAAGAATAGAATAGAATAGAATAGAATAGAATAGAATAGAATAGAATAACAGAGTTGGAAGGGACCTTGGAGGTCTTCTAGTCCAACCCCCTACTCAGGCAGGAAACCCTATATCATTACAGACAAATGGCTGTCCAGTCTCTTCTTAAAAACTTCCAGTGTTGGAGCATTCAAAGCTTCTGGAAGCAGGTTGTTCCACTGATTAATTGTTCTAACAGTCAGGAAATTTCTCCTTAGTTCCAGGTTGCTTCTCTCCTTGATTAGTTTCCATCCATTGCTTCTTGTCCTGCCTTCGGGCGCTTTGGAGGTTATCTTATTCCTGTTCAGGGGTCCCCAAGCTGGCCCCCTCCAGGTGGGTTGTCCACAGAAGGAAACCCTTTCAGATGTTGGCCATCATGATGAAATACCGGTTGTCCTTGACTTACAACAGTTCATTTAACAACCATTCAAAGTTACTATGGCACTGAAAAAAAGTGACTTATGACCATTTTTCACATTTACGACCCCACAGTCATGTGATCAAAATTCAGACACTTGGCAACTGACTCATAGTTAGGATGGTTGCAATACCCTGGATCCACGTGATCACATTCTGTAACCTTCTTATAAGCAAAGTCAATGGGGAAGCCACATTCTCTAAACAACCGTGTTGCTAATTTAACAACGGTAGTGATTTACTTAACAACTGTGGCACGGAAAGTCATAAAATGGGGAAAAACTCACTTAACAAAGGTCTCACTTAGCAACAGAACTTTTGGGCTCAATTGTGATCAGACAGGACTACCTGTAGCACAGGTCAGGGGAAAAAACCCTATTGCCATCCAGAAACAATAGTTTCATTTCATTTCATTTATATGTACCCCAGCTTTATCATTTTTACAAATAACACAAGGAGGCAAGTATATCCAACGCCGGTCTCCTGCTTGAGCAGGGGCTGGACTAGAAGACCTCCAAGGTCTCTTCCAACCTTATTGTTCTATGTTCTAACCCATGGGTAGGCAACCTTGGCTCTTTTATGACTTGTGGACTTCAACTCCCAGAATTCCTGAGCCAGCATGGCTTAGCTTGGAAACCTCTCCCTTTCCCCTCAGCATGGCTGGCTCAGGAATTCTGGGAGTTGAAGTCTACGAGTCATAAAAGAGCCAAAGTTGCCTACCCCTGGGCTAGGCTTTCTACTAGCTTCGATCACCTCCCCACACTCTTCTCAGCACCTAAAATGGCCGCCTATGGAGACCTTCCTTGTTTCATCCCAAAGTATGATGACAGAGTGTTTCTTAACATTGGCCACTTTAAGACTGGTGGACTTCAACTCCCAGAATTCCTGAGCCAGCATGGCTTAGCTTGGAAACCTCTCCCTTTCCCTTCAGCATGGCTGGCTCAGGAATTCTGGGAGTTGAAGTCCTCGAGTCATTAAAGAGCCAAAGTTGCCTACCCCTGTTCTAACCTAAATCCCTGGACCACCTTTAGCTCTTTGATCAGGAAGACCAGCTGGACTGGATCCTCTTCCATGACGTTGTGGTGACCTCCAAGGTTTACTTGAGGACGGTGTGTCCAATTCGCTACGCCTGGGTGCAGGATCTGCTTCCTCGGCTTCACCAGATTGATGCTTACGAACTGAGCAGCGTGGCCCGGGAGAACGTGACAGAGGAGGAAATGGCTAACTGGAGGAGGAAGGAAGACCTCAAAAGACAGAACGGTGAGCTTCAACGTGGTGGGACGTTCAGAAGGTCATCCATGTCTAGGTTAGGTGGCTGGAGACAGGAGGTGTCAGACCTGCCCCAATTTGCTCCCTTAGCTAAGAAACACCCTCGATTCCATTTGTACTGAAAGGTATACTTTACTAAAAGCCAAGTGGATTACAATATAGCAGGGGTCTTCAAACTTGGCCCTTTTATGACTTGTGGACTTCAACTCCCAGAATTTCTCAGCCAGGCACGCTGGCTGAGGAATTCTGGGAGTTGAAGTCCACAAGTCATAAAAGGGCCAAGTTTGAAGACCGCTGCAATATAGCAAAGCCAGAACTGAAGTTCGCATACCAAAGTTTCCCAGTTAACTTTCCCCATCTGGTTCCTCTTCTCCCCTGGTCCCTTACTGTCCAAATCAGACATGTCAAACACAAGGCCCTGGGGCTGGATGCAGCCCGCGAAGTGGTTTCATGTGGCCCGCGAAGCCATCCTGGAAACAGTGAGGGAATGGCCCCCGCTGCCTTAGCCCTGGCCCAGGCCAGCTGGGAGCCCATGTACAATTTTGTGGTGGCCATCTATGCTGAAACGCATTCAGTCTTAGCTCCATAAGCCCCCCTCCCCCCCGCATGGCCTGAGAGGAACAGTGAGGCTCCTCCAGTGGACCATGCCTTGGCACCTGTCCTGGTCCCACCTCCTTCTGCCAGAGACCCTCAGATCCATCCCACTCCTGCCCAGGCCCCCACAGGCACCCTTGACGCGAACGATGTAGAGCTGGCCACGCCCACCCAGTAGGCCACACCAATGCCATCCACGTCCACCCAGTAGGCCACACCCACCCTGGCCACACCCACCCGGCCCCCTGAGGGCAACCACAATGCTGATGTGGCCCTCATTGAAATTGAGTTTGACATCCCTGGTCCAAATGAATAAATTGGTTTGGGAACGGTCTCTTCAACGGCGGGCTGGTTGATGAACCGTTGCATTCCATTCCCAGAGCTTTGACCTTGAGACAGTGTCTCTGGAAAGTACGATGAGTTGGTAGCTTTCCTCCCCCATCCCATCCAGCTCCCTCTCCCCCCCCCCCCATAATTCATGGCAGACTGGCAACTAGCGAATGCAAAGTTCAAGTGTACGATGGCAGCTTTGACAGGAGGAGACGGTGGATGGTTTGTAGATGGGAGACCCTTCTGCTTTTTTGTCATTTAGAACAGAGATCCCCAACCTTTTGAGCACCAGGATTTTGTGTGCTGTCTGCATCCCGCAGATGGGACTTTGCTTGTTTGTGCGGCCCGGTTGCTGGCATGCTGCGGCCCGGTACTGGTCTATGGCCCGGTGGTTGGGGACCCCTGATTTAGAGCTCTGTTTTTTTGTCTTCAGAAAAAGCACCAGGTGAAGCCGCCAGGAAGATGGAGAAGCGGAACGACGAGCAATCGATCAGAGAGGCTCGCACTCGGTACCTGGAGAGGAAGCAGCAGAGAGTGCAAGGATCTGGCATTTCTTCTAAAGACTCCAGCTAGGCTGTTCACTATCACCAGCCCGTAACTCCGGTTCCTATTGGGATCGTTTCCATTTTTGGACAAGAGTGTACATTGCTGGTGGTAGCTGGGAAGAAAAGTAGAAGACCCCAGACCCAGAAATGCTTGAAGAATCCCCTTATCCCTGCCGTGGAATAATTACAATCTGATGTACAAGAACAAGTCAGCAGAGATGAATCAGCATTGAGGGTTGCAGTTGTTAAGTCGCCGGAGTTAGTGAGAATTTCTGCTTTCTTCCCGAGACCATCGTCCCTTTGCAAGGTCCATTTTAAGGATCGGGATTAATCTCAGACTCTAGGCCGGTTGCTAAGAGGCAGGCCGTTTGGATTGCATTGGCCCCAAACTCCAGTATTTCTGAAGTCAGGTCTAAACTACAGGTAGTCCTTGTGTTAACGACTGTAATGCAACCTGCCCATCACGGTCATAACTGTGATAGTTGTAAATCAGGTCACGCGTCATTGGCCCGATTTTACGACCTTTTTTGTGGTGGTCAGGGGTAGGCAACTTTGGCTCTTTTATGACTTGTGGACTTCCATACCCAGAATTCCTGAACCAGCCATGCTGACTCAGGAATCCTGGGAGTTGAAGTCCACCCATCTTAAAGTGGCCAATGTTGAGAAACACTTTCTGTCATCATACTTTGGGATGAAACAAGGAAGGTCTCCATAGGCGGCCATTTTAGGTGCTGAGAAGAGTGTGGGGAGGTGATTGAAGCTAGTAGAAAGCCTAGCCCAGGGGTAGGCAACCTTGACTCTTTTGTGACTTGTGGACTTCCATACCCAGAATTCCTGAACCAGCCATGCTGAGGAGAAATGGAGAGGTTTCCAAGCTGAGCCATGCTGACTCAGGAATTCTGGGAGTTGAAGTCCACAAATCATAAAAGAGCCAAGGTTGCCTACCTCAGGTGGAGGTTGTTATGCAAATCAATGAGTTGCTATGAGCTATTTTTGCCCAAAACCATCGTAAAACGCACCTCAGAATGTTGCAAATAGCCATAAATGCGACTCTTTGCCGGCTGCCTGAACTGTGACCACATGACAACAGGGTTGTCGACAAGGGCTGTCAGAACTTAGAATCTGGGTTGTAAATACCCCCAGGGGGTTTTGTCATAACTTCAAATGGTATAATAATAATAATTATTATTTATTACTCACTAAGCAAGTCGAGGACTATCTGTATAAATCCAAATTAGTTTACCTTCACTTGTCCCTGGGGTCCCTTGCAGTCTATCCCATGAATTGCAGTAACTTGAAAATTCATTACACGCAACTAAGATAGGGTTAGTTAAAAAGCCAGTTTGCAGTTGCACTGAAATAAATGGCAAACCGATGAGAATTTTTGATGGCTGAACACCAGGGCACCATCGTAATAAATCCTGATTCTTTCTCTTCTCCAAATTTGAGGGGGGGGGGAAATCCTGAAAGGAATATATTTAACTCGTTGGAGATCTTGCTTCTTGTTTTTATCTGCACAGTCATTGATATATATATATTTTTCCTGGCTGGTGCAATTTGAATTTAGCGTTAGGACATCAGAATTATTTGGGCAAGTTACATTTTCAAATGGGAGCTTTTTTTTTGTTTAGTTTGTTGTTTCACATTTCTGAGTTGCATCGTGTGCGTGTAATATAGGCTGCAGTAGCTGCCTCCAGTTTGTAAAATATGGAAATAAATTTTGTACTCTTGCTTATAAATCTCTGATGGCTCAAATTGCATGCCTGCCTGCCTGAGCATATTGTCTGTCTGTTGGAGAACGCCAGCCAAGAATGAACATCAGTCTCGGATGACTGCAATGCTCTTTTTGCGGAGGGAATATTTATTTATTTATCAAATGCATCTCTAGGCCTGTCACAATTCAAACAATTCTTAGCGGATTACACGGGGGGGGAGGGGAAAAATGCAAAATAAAACATATCTGGGACCTAAAATAAAAATTTACAGTGGCAGTGCAACAATGGAAGGGAAAAAGAACGGAGAAAGAGGACAACGTTGAATTTTAAAAAAAAATAAGAAAAATAAGAACTTTCAAAAGACTGAAAGGGAATCCATCTGATTGCTACCATTTTACTACTGTATTAACCCTGTACATACACGACCAAATGGGATTGTAGTTGGCTTCTATTGTGTGAACTCAGCCAGTGTGGAATAGGTGGACTACGGCTGGTTGCTTAGTGACTGTCCAAAGTTACATAATAATAATAATAATAATAATAATAATAACAACAACAACAACAACAATCATAATAATAAAGTTGGAAGGGATCTTGGAGGTCATCTACTCCAACCCCCTGCTCAGGCAGGAGACCCTATACCATTTCAGACAAATGGCTGTCCAGTCTCTTCTTGAAAACTTCCAGTGTTGGAGCATTCACCACTTCTGGAGGCAGGTTGTTCCACTGGTTAATTGTTCTGTCAGGAAATTTCTCCTTAGTTCTAGGTTGCTTCTCTCCTTGATTACTTCTCTAAGGCTACTTAGGATCTACATTCAAAGTTTTGATGCCCCCCCATAGCGCGCCCCCCCCCCCCCAGGCCTGGTCTTGTAACTGGTTTGTAGTGTTCTGGTTTGTATTGCTCAATTTACAATATTTTTTTGCCGGAAACTTTTTATATCCAGTTTCCAGCAAAAAAAAAAAACATCCGTTGTAGACAATGGATTTACTTATCAGCTGTGTTGCTCATTTAATGACGGGGGCATTCACTTAACTACCTCCACAAAACAAGCTCGTAAAATCAGTCGCAGCCACGTGATGACCCACTTCATGACAGCCCTGACTTATAATTGTAATTCTGGGCTCAAAACAGTTGTAAGTTGAGGACAACCTGTGTGTAAAACCTACAAAGAAGTTAGGGCCCAGAAATATTGTTAACAAGGCACAGTCCTTGACTTTTGACCAAGTGCCACGTTCCTTTTAGGTTTAAATCAGAGGCCCCCAACCATTTGGACACCAGGGACTGGTTCTGTGGGGAGACATTTTTCTGCGAACCAGAGAGGGCGTGGTTTCGTGTGTTACCTGCATCCCACTGATGGGGTTTCATTTTTTGCATGGACCGGTTCCTGGCATGCCACAACTCGGTGCCGGTCCACAGACCAGGGGTTGGGGATCCCTGGTTTAAAATACAATAAATCTTGTTAGGGGTATCTGTGGTTGAGGGGAGGGGAGTGCCAAAAAAGAAATTTAAAAAGTAGGGAATTCTGGGAGTTGAAGTCCACACATCATAAAGCCTGCTGGCTGGGGAATTCTGGCAGCTGAAATTGACACCACTTAAAGCCTGCTGGCTGGGGAATTCTGGCAGCTGAAATTGACACAACTTAAAGCCTGCTGGCTGGGGAATTCTGGGAGTTGAAGTTCACACAAAGTAAACCAAGCTGGCTGGGGAATTCTGGGAGTTGAAACTGACACAACTTAAATATGATGGCTGGAGAATTCTAGGAACTGAAATCCTGCCCTTTTTTATTGGTGTTGCGACACATGTAATCAAAGGAGGGCCTTCAATTGTGCAGTCATGACAGTCATAGGTTTTTGACCTCTCCCACTCCATGAACACCCTGGAGGAAATTATTATTATTCTATTCCCCCCCCTTTTTAGATCGATCAATCAAATCAAATTGGGGAGCATATCTAATACTCCTGTTCTGCCCAACAACAATAACCTTGTGAGGTGGGTTGGGCTGAGAAAAAGTGGCTTTAAGAAGAGGTATAAGGGGCAGAGAAACAACCACAATAATCTAATTGTGTATACCCCGTGAAAAATGGATGTTGTTACAAAAATAGAGGGTTGGAAGAGAATGAACGAAGCACAGGTAGTCCTCAACTTACAACCATTCATTTAGTGACTCTTTGAAGTTACAATGGCACTGAAAAAAGTGACTTATGACTGTTTGTCACCTGACCATTGCAAACTCCCAGGCTTTTGGTAGAGGACCCCAGATTGAGGAAGTCACAGACCACCCATAAGGGTGGTGCAGCAGTTAGAATGCAGTATTGCAGGCAAACTTTGCTCACAGCCAGGAGTTTGATTCTGACTGGCTCAAAGTTGTGTTGAAAAAAAAAATCTTCATCAGGGTCCAGTCCAAGCCGGGAATAATCAAAATGGAGGCTGTTTTAGAAAGAAGGTTGTAGTTTATTGAAGAGGAGAGCCAGACAGAAAGATGGCTCTGGAAAAACTGACCACATGTAGCTGGGGGTGGTGGGTTTTTATACCTTCTGGGGCTCTTGAGGTTGTTTCCTGTTCCTGTTTGAGGCTTTGTGTTTCCTGTGTCATGTACTTTGACCTGAGTCTGAGTGTGCCCTTTTGGTATTGGGGGTAAATCCTATTATGTCCACAAAGGTCATGTTTTTTAAGAGTTTGGGTTGGGTATGTAGATTTTAGGTGTCTTTGTCTTCCTAATTTCTTCAGTTTCTAGCTGGAAAGCTCAGATCTTTCTAAAACAGTGGTTCTCAACCTTTTTAATGTAGCGACCCCCAACCGGTCGTAAGTCGAGGACTAAACCGGTCGTAAGTCGAGGACTTTCCCTGCCCGGGAGCGCTGCACATGCGTGGTTCCGCCCCCTGCGCCGGCCGAGGCGTAGCTGGCAAGCGGCAGAGACGGAGCAGGCCGACCACCAGCTGGCCCAGCCCAAGGGAGGTAAGGCACCCACCGGAAAAGGGAAAAAAAATGGCGGACAGCCTTGCTTGGCGACCCCGTGAAATGGTTGATCGACCCCAAATGGGGTCACGACCCATAGGTTGAGAACCGCTGTTCTAAAAGGATTATTCAATTTGCATTTCTAAAAGCTGGCCTCTGCTGAGTTTTCTGCTTGAGGGGAGGGGGGCTTGGCCTGGTTTCTATCCCTTTTTTAAGATCTTCATTATTCCTTTGGGAAAATATATTCTGCCTTTTTAATATTCCCCAAAATATTTCTTTCTCTGGACTCTTCCCACAGTTGACTCCTTCCATCCATCCAAGATTGGTAAAATGTGGACCCAGATTGTTGGGGGCAACATGCAGACAATATAAACTGTTCAGAGAGTGCTGTAAAGCACTAGGGGGTGGTAGAATTAGTCCTTGACTTATGACAATTGAGCCCAAAATTTATGTTGCTAAATGAAACATTTGCTACGTTAATTTTGCCCCCATTTTATGACCATTCTTGCCGCAGTTGTTAAGTGAATCGCTGTAGTTGTTAAATTAGTCAAACTGTTGCTAAATGAATCTGGCTTCCCCACTGACTTTGTCAGGTCACAAAAGGGGATCACATGACCGCTGGGACACAGCAACCGTCATAAATATGAGCCAGTTGCTAAGCGTCTGAATTTTGATCCCGTGACCATGGGGATGCTGCAACAGTTGTAAGTGTGAAAACTGGTCATAAGTCATTTTTTTCAGTGCCATTGTAACTTTGAAACGATCACTAAATGAATTGTTGTAAGCCAAGGACTACCTGTATATAACTAGGTGCTATTGCTATAGGGGTGAGAAGGGAATTTTCCTATATAATTATTTTGTTCTATTGTCACTTTAGTTTCTCTTCTGCCCCAACATCTAAATTTAGACTGTGGTTTCTACAAAGCACGGGCCTAGACGTTTCTGTTTTGCAGTGTTTAAAGTGCTTTATATATTGATCGTACTATTATTAATATTGCATGATCATCCTTTTGGAAGACAGAAGATAAAAACAACAACAAAGCAACAAAGATGATCAGGGACTGGAGGCTAAAACATATAAGGAACGGTTGCTGCAATTGGGTATGTCTCGTTTAATGAAGAGAAGGATGAGGGGGGACATGATAGCAGTGTTCCAATATTTCAGGGGCTGCCCCAAAGAAGAGGGAGTCAAGCTATTCTCCAAAGCGCCTAAAGGCAGGACAAGAAGCAACGGATGGAAACTGACAAAGGAGAGAAGCAACCTGGAACTAAGGAAGAATTTCCCGACAGTGAGAACAATTAACCCGTGGAAGAACCTGCCTCCAGAAGTTGTGAATGCTCCAACACTGGAAGTTTTTAAGAAGAGATTGGACGGACATTTGTCTGAAATGGTCTAGGGTTTTCTGCCTGAGCAGGGGGTTGGACTAGAAGACCTCCAAGGTCCCTTCCAGCTCTATTCTATTCTATTCTATTCTATTCTATTCTATTCTATTCTATTCTATTCTGTTCCTAAGTTGATGTATGATGATGACGACTGCTGCACAAAGAAAGGAGCCTCTATATTCAAAGGCAATCTATCTTCATTTTTATTCTTCCATTCAGTCATGTCCAATACTTGCCTCGACAGGTCTCTGCAGTTTTTTTGGCATGGTTTTTCTAAAGCTTCTTTGTGAACTTTGCCATTGTCTCTTTCCTAGGGCTGAGAGACAGTGGCTGGACCAAGGTGACCTCCAGCTGGCTTTGTGCTTAAGGCAGGACTTAGAATTTATTTCCAAATATCGGAGGCTTAAAAAAATTCGTTCTCCTTTGCATTTCCTTTCTCTTTCTTTTTCTGGAGCCTGAAACAGAATCACATAAGATTTTTTAGCATTTATAGCAGGGGTATCAAACTTAATTTCATTGAGGGCCGCATCAGCATTGCGTTTGCCCTCGGGGGCCGGGTGGGTGTCTCCAGGGTGGGTGCGGCCTACTGGGTGGGTGTGGATGGAGTGGGTGTGGCCTACTGGGTGGGTGTGGCCAGCTCTACATCATTCGTGTCAAGGGTGCCTGTGGGGGCCTGGGCAGGAGTGGGACAGATCTGAGGGTCTCTGGCTGAAAGGGGTGGGACCAGGGCAGAGCCCATCAAGCCAGATATGTGAAGTAGGCGAGGGCCATTTGCTGGCCACTTCCAGGCGATGGTGCATTTCTCCATTCCTCACAAAGGGTGACACCTCCCCAGCATGCACCCAGGGGTTGGGGCCGACACGGCAGGGGCTGGTTCCTTGCTGTTTCTAGACGGCCTTGTGGAGCTAAGACTGAATGCATTTCAGCATAGATGGCCACCACAAAATTGTACATTGGCTCCCGGCCGGCCTGGGCCAGGGCCAAGGCAGCGGGGGCCGTTCCCTCACTGTTTCCAGGATGGCTTCGCGGGCCACATGAAACCACTTCGCAGGCCGCATCTGGCGCCCGGGCCTTGTGTTTGACATGTCTGGTTTATAGGTAGTTTTCAACTTACAACAATTTGTTTAGTGATGATTTGAAGTTACAGTGATACTTTAAAAAAAATGACATGACCTTTTTTCATACCTATGACCTTTGCAGCATCCCCATGATCAAAATTCAGACACTTGGCAACTGACTTGTATTTACAACAGTTGCTGTGTCCCAGGGTCATGTGATCCCTTTTTGCCACCTTCTGACAAGCAAAGATTGTCAGATTCACTAAACAAGCATGTGACTAATTTAACAACTTCAGAGTTTCATTGAACAACTGTGACAAGAAAGGGGTGGCATAAAATGGGGTGGAACTCATTGGTGGTCTTGATAAAGCAACAAAAATTTGGGGCTGTTTTGGTCGTAAATCGAGGACTACCTGTATTGCATTTTCTTTAAAAGTCAAAGAAACACTGTTTTGAACCAAGCCATGATTCAATACATGGTTGTTGGAATGGCCCAGTATTGTGTTATATATGCAGAAGTCATCACTTTCATTTTTGCTAAAGGTCACCGATCCAAGGTCAACCAGGTAAGGATTCGAACCCACAAACTCCCCAACTGCCCCCTTCAATTCCCGGCACCCCCTTTAATCCTCTGCTCTATTAGAAGGGGTGACCTGGGCGGACTTCACTCCTTTAATATTAGAGCGGGAAGGGAACAAGGCGCTACTTCCTCCGCCCTAGAACGTCCACCTTGCGGATCTTTTTTTTTTTTTTTTTAAATATTCTAACCTCCGACCATGTGATCCGCAGATGGGCGGGGCTCTTCTCGGAACGGAACTGACGTCCCCCCCGCCCATGTCGCATGATGTGGCAAAAAAAAGGGGGGGGAGGGACGGAGGAGGGAGGGAGAGAGACCCGGCGCTTCGGAGGGCGGGGCTTCTGTTAGTACGACGAACCACGACGAAGACGCGGGCCGGCCGAAAAAAAAAAGCTCCTTCCGGCTTCCCGTATCCTTCCGCCGAGTCCATTGATTCCTTAGGCGGGCTGCGTCTCTCTCCTCCTCCTTCTCGGCGCGAATCCTTCCGCCGCTCGGCTAATCCGCGGCAGGTGAGGCGCAAGGCAGAGCGCGGATAAGGCGGAGGCGCGGTCGCAGCGCTCCCTTCCCTGAGGAGGCCCGTCGGTGTCCTTCCGCCGCGCGAGCTGTTTCCGTATCGCTCGCTGGGGCTGCTGCTGCTGCTGCTTCTCCTCAGCGCCTCGGCCTGCCCCGCCATTACGAGCTGCCCTCGCCGGCTCCTCCGCCGCGCTCCGCTTCGCCGCCCCTGCATTCTTGTGGAAAGGCCAGCGCCCCTTCCCCGCCGTCAGGCTGGAGCCCCAAAACCCCAACAACGCGTCGGCCGCCATGGCTCAGATCCTGCCCATCCGCTTCCAGGAGCATCTCCAGGTGAGGCGGGCTGCGGCTCCGGGAAGGGGGGGGACCTCTCTCGCCTGCCCCCGCCCGGGCTGAGGCCGACGGTGGGTAGGTGGGGGCGGGGGGGGCGTGCTGAAGCCGAGTACACGTGTGGGTGAGAACGTGTGAAGCCTCGTTCGAGGCCCTCGCTGCTTTGACAGTTGGGGTGGTCACCTGACGGGTGGCTTGAAAGGGCGGCCTGAGAAGCGGGTTTATTCATTTATTGAGCAAATAGGTGTCACGCATTACCGGTTGCCGTTGTAAATAGGGAATTGGGGTGGTGGGGGCTTGAATTGACCACCTTGGATACTTGTCTCTTTCTTCCCTAATTAAGCCAAATTAAGCTTAGTTATTCAATTGCAGGCACCTTTCCCACTCCTTTTTGTATTTGTGTGTGTGTGTGTATATATATATATATACACACACACACACACCACCTATGTGTATATATAGTATATAGCATGTCTATGTGTGTTATGTATGTGTACACCTTTGAGAGCAGGCAACAGAATTTCATTTTTAATGTGTGCCAGTGTGCCCACAGTTTAAAAAAAAATGACAATAAAGGTTACCTTTTCTCCTCCTGAGTGGGACAGGAGGATATAAATGTGTAAATGTAATTTTCTGTCTGCCATATTATGGCATTTTTGATAATGGCTCTGCTATGGCTCTCTCTAGGCAAAAGAAGCAATAATGTGGGAGTTTGAGTGTATGAGGGTTTAAATGTTTGGCTTTTTTTTAAATGGGAGAATTAAAACGGCTTTCTGGGTTTGTGGAGGGAAGCCTGTTTGGGCACTCTTGGGCTCTCTGGCTGTTCGTGCACATACTTGTACGAATCTGGCCTGATTTCCTGATATCTCTATTTAATCCTGCCTATGCTGGCTTCCTCTTTAATAGGCCTTGGTTTTCAACAAGTGTGCCGGATGATAGGTGAAGGTAGGCAGGCTCTTTGGTTTCCTTCTCCCAATTTCAGGCTCCTGTGTGACTTGGAGTGGAGGGTCCCTATGGAAAAAGAAGAGGGTAACCCTGGTTTAAAGTGGCCAGAGAAAATTGGGCGAAGCAAGTATGTGAGCGGGAAGAGGAAGGTTTAATGTCCTTTAATTTGGAAGGAACTAAGATGAAAAAGAAAGTTGTTCGATTCAGGTGTGTGTGTGTGTGGTATCCTGGGTGAAAACTAGAGCAGGTGCGGTGGCTGAAACTTGGGGAAGTAATTCAGAAAGGTTGGTATCATTATGAAGGTAGATGGGTGTGAGTAGTTTAGCAGAAATCTGTAAGACAAAAGAGTAACTGGGGAGTAACTTCCTTATTTCTCCTTGGCAAAGGAGCCTAGGGTAATTCTGCAGCTGACTTGTGCAGGCGGGGTAATCTGTGCACCCAGCTTGATGCAGAGATCTGGAGGGAGCAAATTAAACTATTTGTGAATGGGGGACTGAGCTGAACTGGCAGAATTAGGAACATAAAACTGAAGGGAGAGGTGTGAGATGCCACTGGATGGGAGACAGGTAGATAGGCTTGTATAACAGGTTAGCTAAGAGCAGTAATTAGGAATCTGAGATAAACATGGATGATCCAAGCGAGCAATATTTATTTTTAGTTGTCGGGCATCTCTGTTTATGTTTTCAGTATATAACAGATTTTTCATCCCTTGGTTCATTAAGACTTGAATCTTGATGAGGGATAATAGTTGGATTGGCAATGAAGATAGGATGGGTGTGAGCTTGGGACATATGAAAATTGGAGCAGGTTGAAAATTATTTGTAATCTTTGGAGTTCAGAAAGTGGGCAGGCAGCAGTAGCTCAAACTTAAGAAGTTGGTGTATTATAATGAGAGTTTAAAGAGCTCAGATGTTGTGGCATCTGGTCTGGTCGTTTAGAGATTTGTTAAAAAGTGGGTGGGGGGGGGAAAGGGATGCTTAATCCCTTGCAGCATTTGGGCTGTAGAAATGCAATTGATAGCAGTTAGCTCAGGTTTTTTTTAAGGTGTAATGGATACGATTGACAGTTCCTTTTGAGTGAGGTTTTGAAGACTCATTAATATTGCTTGTCTTTATGAATGCAGTCCAGAAAACTAATGATGGGAACAGATGCAGTTATGTTCTCCATATGTTCCAGAAATAATTCCAAGACTTTCCAAAGTACTGTAGGAAAAAACAACAACCTTAAGCTATTCTAAACAAGGATCCCTAATCGCTGGAGCAACCTATAGTACAATAGAGGAAAACTTGTCTGCTTCTGCAAATTTCCCAATGTATGTTGCCAAGGACAGTTTGTTTTTAGGAGCCAATTGTTGACTTAACTCATGAAAGAGATGTAGGTTTACCCTTCCATACTGTACTTTGATGCTTTCCTTCCACCTTTAAGAGCTGGGACATCACTTTTGTTTGACTGTTCTGGCTTCTGGGTGCTCGTGTTCTACTTTGTTCAGGAATGTGTCTGCAGGAAGATCCAAACCATGTTTAACTGTGTGTGTGAGGACAGGGTGTAAGCACCTCCTGTACTGCCATCCGTGTTGTTGCAACTTCAAGCGAATATCTAATCCTGAATATCTAATCCTTGCTGCTGCGTAGGCGGGATACAGCTCTTCCTTCAAAGCTGCTTGCTGGGAGATGCATCAAAGGATAGGAGAGCAGTGGAGAAGGTTTTGTAGATTTGCCCGCAAGCCGCCTTGTCTTTGAACAAAACAGACCCCTCAGATTTACCTTGAAGTTACAGACCCTTTCCCAAATAGGCATGGCCATTGGCTCATTCTTATATAGGTTGCATTGTTTTAAGCCTGTGGCTTGCAGAATTGACTCTATACTTACAGTGTTCTCTACTTGAGGGTTTAAACATCTTTTTTATCTTTCTTAAAATGCTGCTTCTCACATGTGCCATGAAAAGAACTGTGGGTGTAGGTTTCCTGGCTGCATAGACTTTATCAACCGGTCTTGGAGGGAACTTATGCACTTCCTTTTGGAATATAATCATGTTATACTTTACTTTCTGGAATGTTTGCTTTTATTGCGGTGATAAGGGTTTTAATAAAGCCATTTGATTCCCAGGATAAATTCCATTGTGTGTAGAATAGACTGTGGGTGTCCTTATAAGAATATGCTCTTTGTGTGTTTTATGTCCACATACACTTGGCATTCTGTCCTATGTCAGGGGTTTTTAAAAGCATGACCCCAAAAGACTCTTTTCATTCTTGTTGAATTTAAAAAAAACAACCTTCCTCTTTGCTATTCACTCTTACTCATTTTCTAAATAAATTATATCCCTCATTCTTTTGGAGAGGAAAAAAAAAACCCTGCAAAACTTCTTAGCTTTGATATTATCTGTCTTGTAGATGCTATAGGGATTTAAAACCCAGATACATCACTATTTTATTCAATTTATGTAGCTATCTATAACAGATAATTCTAGGCAGCTCCCAGACTTTCTGGACCTTTGAAATCCCCGCTGCCCTGGTCTTATGAAAACATTTGTTTTGGAAAAGAATATACTTCAATCATTTCTGGAAAATTCCTGTGTGGTTTGTGCCAAAGATGTTGCCAAGAAGTCTACATGGAATGATAAAGCAAAATGTATGCATAGGAAATGTTGATGAGAGGCAGTGCTGCTCACACTGGATAATCACACTTGTTTCTTTACTTGTGACTGGATTCCTCTAAAATAAGATAAAACACTGCATCCATAATTTCAGTACTTAGTGTGAATCTTTTTGGAGCTGCTAATTTGATTGAAAACATCATTGCATTTATTTAGTATTAAACCCCAGATTTTCAAATATGACTGTGTTTCTTTTCCCCAGCAGGAGAGACAAATCAAATGAGTATATAAACCAGGGGTTCTCAACCTTGGCAACTTTAAGACTTGTGGACTTCAACTCCCAGAATTCTGGGAGTTGAAGTCCACAAGTCTTAAAGTTACCAAGGTTGAGAACCCCTGATATTAACAGTTCTGGACAATTCAGTGCTGAAACACCTGAGACTTCAGCTCCTATTGATGTTATGGGAAATTGTTGTTGCACACAAAGTAACTTTGGTGTGCACGCATTAACACATTGACATCTTGTACTTTCCAGTAACACAGGGTTCCCAAGTAATCTTCCCAGCCAGCAATTACCTCTTCAGTTGAAACAAAACTTGACACTTCTTATACAAACTTAATGGTCATTTATTTGGAACCTTTATCAGTGTGACTTTGGGGTCATGCAAATCGTGAAAGAAAAATACAAAAGAACATAGCACCCTACTAAAGCAAACTGCAGCAATTAAAAGATGATCAAAAGTAATGCATATGGTGCCTCTCCAGTTGGGAACTTGACTCATTTGAACTCAAGTCCGAGAGGAAGAGTGAAGTCTTAATTGCCTTTCTAAAAGTCTGCAGGTTGGAATCAACCATGTATCTTTGTGGGGGGGGGAATCATTCCAAAGAGGAGGTGCCCTATGTCTTTCTATAAGATATGAAATACAGCAGGGGTCCCCAACCCCTGGTCCGTGGACCAGTACCAGGCCGCGGCATGCCAGCAACCCGTCCGCACAAACAAGCAAAGCCCCATCCACGAGATGCAGGCAGCACACAAAACCACGCACCCTCGGGTCCGCGGAAAAACCTCTCTCCACGGAACCGGTCCTTGGTGCCCAAAAGATTGGGGACCTCTGAAATACAGGGATAATGTGATGGGCTTCTCCTGAAATAGTAGTTCTAACATCATGGAATCAGGGACCAGTATCCTCCAGGTCTTCGCAACTTCTGCTTTCTTTAGTTATTGCCAGTATGGCTAATGGGAAAGTGTGCGAATTGCCATTTAGAACAATCTGCAGGTTCTCAGGGATTACTCGGGGTAGCCTGGATATCCCAGAAGAGCTGTGGAAGCTCTGCATCAGTGTTTGTCAACTGAGACTCGCTTTAAGATGTGTGGACTTCAACTCCCAGAATTCTCCAGCCAAAATTCTGGGAGTTGAAGTCCACACAATTTAAAGTGAGTCTCAGTTGACAAACACTACATGAAC